TATTCTGGTTTTATTATTATTATTCTGTTAGGCCTATTCATTATATATTATTGTTGGTATTTTCACTCTAGCTTATACTATTGTAGAACTTATCTGTTTCATTTTTTCAAGATGCACTATATTTATATAAATTATATGCTTTATACAATACTACATAGGCCTATATCATTTTGGCCTCGTGCTTCCATCATTATAACTATGTTTTATTTGCCTTTCAATACTTTTATAGGTCCACATTTATTTAATTTACAATATTGCTTTGTATAATTTTATATTTATATATATAATTTTTTTTTTTTTTTTTTCATAGCCGCTTCCTGTTCTTGATTTTAGTTATGCCTTATGTTTAGCTTATCCATTAACCATGGATGAATTAATTCCCCCATGCATTAACTATAGTAATGCTTTCCCACAGTCCACCACTTGCTCATTCATTGTGCACCCTTATCACTGTTTATTTGTACATTATCATTATTCCTTTATAGACGTATGCCGATTTGCTTTGACTTAATTACCGTATTGTTTCTCAAATTGTATATTGCCAAGATACTTTCTCAATATGTTCATTTTATGTCAAGCGTTGACAAAGACTACAGGAGTAGCCGAAATATTCGCCTAATAATTTTTAGTGGTTCTAAAGTCAACATCTTACGTATTTGAGTTTATTTACTGTTACGTTATATTATATTCTACATATGTTTCGAAACACACATGGACACGCCTTCTTCATGTATGTATATATATGTATACAGATATATGTACATATATATATGTATATACATATGTATATATATATATATATATATATATATATATATATATATAATTTGTATGAAATCTATAATACTTAGGCCTATGATAATAATATTAACTTTTATCATCATTATTATTGCAAACATTATTATTCTCTTTATTAAAAATAATAATAATAATATTAATGTTGAAATGAATTGAATTGAATTTATTTGATGCTCATATATAAAATATAAAATACTGTCATTATAACTATATACTAAATACTAAAAATACATTCTTTGTAATATTAAACTATTAATTGTTGATTCTAATTACAGAGTGCAAACAAGAATCATTGATAGCTGTTTCTCAGGTTTTGTTAGGTATTCCTGTACATGAAGACATTATCCTAGAGCCATGCACTGTAATGTCTTGGACGGCTCATACGTCTGAAGGATCATTCATTGAGCTGAATATTACAGGGATATCCATGCTTGGAATAGATTCTGCCCAGACATGTGTTGGCTATTTCAACATCTCTGAACCCGACGGAAAATCCAGCATAGGCCCAATCTGTGGCGACGTGGGTCTAATCCCATTCGTTAGATCAACAACGTCCCAACTTAGTTTGTTATTGGGGGCAGGATATAGACGTCAGCACATCGTATTCAAAGCGGTGTTTAATAACGTTGGTGAGTTATACTGTAGTTAAAAGTTTTAGAATGTAGATTTGTACAGAAATTTGTGGTACATTACTATCATTAAGACTTTTCTAGTGTAATTTTGCTCATAATTTGCATTTTATTTCCAACACCGTTTTGAATTTACTCATGTTCGATTATTAACTTTTTTTTTAATAATCTGTATCTTGTTCTGTAAAGACTATATGAATATGTAAATGCATAATGTCAATTATATATAATATATGCAGTATTGCATCTAAATATATCTATCTGAGTTATGTAAACAATTTTTCTCACAAACATTACGTATATTTCATAATGTTATGTTTCATTTAGAGAAACCGGGATGTGCTTTTCACGGTTTGGGATTCAGTGTGTTATGTGAACATCCATCTGCTATGCTGGCAACATTCAACTACCCTTACCAATACATAGGGGGTAGTAGATACACTTGGGATATAACAGCGCCCTCTACGTCTCATTATATATTGCTGTCTTTTAATGATTTCGACATACCTGGTTCAAGGACCTGTGAAAACGACTATATCACTGTGAATACAGATTTAAAAACTGACTCAGAACTGAAACTAGATTTATTTTGCAATGCTAATTTACCTCCACTATACTTCAAAAGTAACCGACACAAAATGGTAATTACGTTTAACAGCGACTACAATGACAACGGCCGAGGCTTTCTTGCCGAATATGACTCATATAGCTTTAGTAATCCGTATAACTCAAGTACCTCACTGTGTACGTATCACTTTGTTGTTTTATTGTGCTTATTAAGATAGGTGTAAGTATAGAGTTTGGCTTATTTTTTTCAACCAAATACATAAAAAATATACATATAAAAGCATTAGGATAAGCAGACAAATATAAGATACAGAAATTTATCCTAATTTACAAATGTCCAACATAAAAAGATTCAAATATAAAAATAATAATTACAGCAATAAAACAAAATTAGTTTAAAAAAAAAAAATACAAATATATACAGTGTAGACATAAAATCCGACTACTTTTACAATTTACAAAATTAATGTTTCACTTTTTAATGTTTGATGTATTTTGAATGTTCCATTAAATTTTTGCATTTATATTTTTTTACAAAAATGTCACGTTTTTCTGTAATGTTATTGATTTAACTTTTTAGTGTAAATGTGCAATTCGGCCATTTTTTTTTTGAATAAATGAAAAAATGAATATTAATACAAATATTGAAATATATTAATTATAAAAATGAAAAAAGAAACAAAACCAATTACAAAAGTATCTATAAAAATTTAATGTATAACTAGTTTATACCAGGACATCATTATTACATGAGTGACTTGATAATGATGGTATTTGTATAATTTCTATATCTAATAAGAAGTAGAATAATAAGGCATTTGAAATTTTTCCTAGCTAATTCATTCATACTTTTTAAAATAAAACAAGCATAATTACTAGCCTTGTAAGATGTATTAAAATAATAATTTATGTTGTCTGTTAATGAGAGCATTACTCTTTACAAAACTTTGTCAACACTATCACCTTTTAAAGTTACACACTACTGTACATGTGATTTTCTCAGTAGTGTGGTAATTGACAATTGAAGGAGGATAAGAGGGTGCAAGAGTGTTGAAAGAGTTGAAAGTCAAACGAATAATCTTTAATTTCAGCTGTTGATTAAAAGGGAGACAATGGATGTTCTTTAAAAACTAATTAGAATACCGATTACTAAGAGTGACAACAGGAGCAGTAGAGTTCTGTATATTAAAATACAAATAACATAAATGTGTCAAATAAAACATGATACTATAACATAACTTATTTTTTGTTTTTGTTATCCATTGTAACTAATGCCTCGTGTCTATAAATAATTTTTTTTTTTTATCAGCTACAGGAAAGTGTCCAGTCGGTTGGATAAGGTATGCACTTTCGTGTTATGTTTTCAAAAAAGAAGCAGAGTATGTGACTTGGACCGGTGCAGAACATATATGCCAGAGTGAAGGTGCTCATCTTGTGTCCATCAGGGATTCAACAGAGATGTTATTTATTCACTTTATGCTGACCAATGATTGGATTACAGATAATGATGTCACCTATATAGGTATTGTGTAATGGGCTATTAAAATTGCAAATTGTTCTTATACAGTACTTCTTATTGTGATAGTAATTCAATGACATTTTTTGATAGGGTTATCCCAGCAAAGAAACACGTTTTCAGTCTACACATGGAGTGACGGTAGTCCTCTAAGTTACACAGCTTGGCACCTTACAACTACGTAAGTATGTTATGTTCCTTTCTCTTCCTTACTGTTAATATAGTTGTGGCGAATCACATTGACTGCATTAAATCTCATTGGATGGTTAATGGCAAATTAATTATAGTATCAAATTGGTGTAAACTTGACAATTTATCTCTAAACATTATATAAAAACGGATTTCCTTTTATTTTCTAAACACAATTGTAAACTCGGATATTCACCAGCAAATCATATTATATTGACAACTCGAGGTTTCTAGAGTTGAAGAAACCAAGTTTCTTAAGAGTAACAATTGATTTAAATTATCATGAAAGGCTCATGTTAATAGGCTTTCCAATGTTGAGCCCATCGGTATTATGAATAAACACACACTTCTCGGTATGCTACTTATTTCTTCATATCATAATTTAGTTTTGGGTAGCTATGTACATAAATTTGTATATGGATGCCCTTGGACAGGTTCGGAGACATCTCACATTTATTGCCTTTTTAATTTCCAAAAACTAATCTCTGCAGAGGCCTTTATGCCATTCACACACATCAAAGTTTTTATACTTTAGGCACTCATAGGCCTACATAATATGAATGACATTTTTCATTTTTTTATGTATTTTTGTGATGAAACACGCTGTTAAGATGCAGTAGTCTTTTTAAAAATAAGTTTGATTTATTCCTCCTAACAGGGAGGAAAAGTTACAGGATCGCCAGCCGCTAGGAGGCAGTCTTGCAGAGTGTACCGTCATTGAAATAGTAACGCTTCACTCCGTCGATCAGTGGTTTGGGGTGGCTTGTGAATATCCCTCAACCAATCAGTTCATCTGTAAGAAACGTGAAAGTAAGTAAAATTATACAGATCTCTGAAAAGTGTTTTTTTCACGGATATTTTTTGTTAAATCAGCTTCAAATGTATCTGTCCTCTCAGAAATTTGAGTATGATAGGCCTACAATAGCTCTAACATTTACAACATTAACTGAAAACGATAGTCAAATCACAGTTGCTCTAACAAAAACTACAAACAGACCTTTAAACTCCTGTTATAATAATGAGTAATTTAGTACACATAATGGAGTATGGTAAAATAGGTTTCCTACAACGCCAACTTCATCAATGCTGCAGACGTGCCTGAATGCAAAAACAGTGCAGAAAATTGTGCCTGGATTTGGCTGAAAGATTTAGTGAATGTGTCTGTAGACACGAACAAACATCTCATGCCTTTATTTAAATTGAAAGGTACACAATAAGAAACCAGGCATGGAATGGTAACATTAACTAACATTAATTTATGTTTTCTTTGTTAGAGATAATTTTGAATGATTGTGTAAAAATTAATTAATTTGGACCTACAGATCATAAAGTAGCCAACAGAAATGTTAAGGGTGGCCGATACGGAAAAATTTTACAAATTAATTATTTGGACCTACACATCATAAAGTAGCCAACAGAAATGTTAAGGGTGGCCGATACGGATGTCTACTTTAAACATCCAGTGCCTTCATTTTGCAGAATGAAAAAAAAAGCGATAATTGATTTTGTTATACTGTATTTCAGAAAAAGTTAACATCCAGTGCCTTCATTTTGCAGAATGAAAAAAAAAAACAATAATTGATTTTGTTATACTGTATTTCAGAAAAAGTTAACTGAATTTAGCCATTTAGGAAAACAAGAAAAATAGTCCTGATTTGATTTTTATGTGGAGACGACAAAAAATAAAGGCTAATGAGTTTTCAACCTTCGATTTTACCATATTTAAAAATATAATAGTAGGCGCCAGAAAATGACAAAAAGCAGACACTCTACTTTTGTCTACTGGCTGTCTAGGCCTAGGCTTACCTAGATTTTACATTATGTTATTAGACGTAAAAAGGGCTAAAATAATAATTCAATTCAATTTATTGGTCAAAGTCATAAAATGGCCTAAAATAATGATAATAATAATAATAATAATAATAATAATAATGTTCCAGTATATGTGTGATTTGGCCCTACCTGACGTGGAAATGTACTGAATACTCAGTACGTTTAAGTTGCGAAAAAAATCGCAAACGTACTGAGTATTCAGTACATTTCCACGTCAGGTAGGGCAAAATTACACCTACTGTATACATGATTATCCTGATGCAAATCCAGTTATTGTCTATTCCATCACGACAATAACAATTACTATCAATGTTCCCATTGTTGGTTGACAGTTATGAAATATAATCTTTTAAATGAATTATTTTAAACATGTTAAAATAAAGCCGATTTTGACCGAGATTTGCAAATTTTTTGAAACACATCCGACTGCATTCTGATCCCCGTTTTGCTTAAATTAATGCTGATAAATTACTTGGTTTGTGATATTTGTTATATTGCACATGATTGGTTAGTAGTAGTGTACGTATGCAGCCACTGGCTTTCAAAGTCACTAAAAACATCCATTGATGTTACCATTCCATGACTGGTTTCTTATTGTGAACCATTCAATTTAACTAACAGCATGAACCATTCAATTTAAATAACAGCATGAACCATTCAATTTAAATAACAGCATGATATGATATTTTTGTTCGTTTCTACAGATACGGACTAGATGTTGTGTTCAGACAAAGCTTGGCGTGACAATTCTTGCACTGTGTTTTAATTTAGCCACGTCCGCAGCATTGCACTCTTGTGGCACGAAATACTTTTACTTTAAATACTTTATTGTTGTTATTAATCCATAAGCATGATTATCATTACCTCATGTTAATTGTTTTATTCAGTTTCTTCAGTATTTTTTTTTTGTCATTTTCCAACGCTTATATTTCGTCTTAAGGGTTAAAGCTGCGTTAGTTTTTCGATGAGCTGAACACCAGCCTACATTATCTTAATAATGATCCGATTGCTTGGTCGCTTCGGTAGGCTCTCTGATTCGAAAAATTTGGATTATGTTTGAATACACCTTAAGCACGCAATGCATGATTGATATCCTATCATTATTAATATATACTTTCTATAGTATATCAATATATTTATTTCATTACCAGTTTTTTATGTTATAATTTGTGAATCGTATTTGTTAATTGTGACTGCTGGCTGTCTGGTCCTTGGCTTATTATGTTAATAGACGTATAAAAGGCTAACATGAAAATGTTCCCATTGCTGGTTGACACTTACGAAATACAATCTTCTAAATGAATTATTTAAAACATGTTAGAATAAGCCGATTTTGACCGAGATTTGGTTTATCTTACATAATGATTCGATTGCTTGGTGGCTTCGTTAGGCTCTCCAATTTAAAAATTCGGACTATATTTGAATGCACCTAAACATGCAATGTAATGATTGATATATTCTATCATTACCATTATCCACTTTCTATATCAATATATTTATTTCATCACCAGTTTCTAATGTTATAATTTGTGTGCCGTATTTGTTAATTGTGACTGAATAAAATAAAGCTAAATATATATTTTATAATAATTTGTAATCAGGTGAATATCATCGTAATACGATACTCTATCCAACAGCTGATTCAACAACAAGTGACGGTAAGTTATCAAATACCCTACATTGTGCATACGCTCATTGTATCATTTTTGCCCCGTATAAAGCCACATTTACACTAGACACAAATATGACACGACGAAAAGATACAGATGCGCGCAGTGTTGAAGAATACAAACTACGCGATGATATATCATCATCGTCGTAATCGTGTCTAGTGTAAATGTGGTTTAACATGGGTTATAGTAGTGCCATTAGTTTGTATCCTCATACATCTTTAGGTCTACGCGATGTATTTCCCAAAGAACTGCTGTGATCCGAAAATGCTACAATTAAGGAGACTCTCAACTAATAGGTCTAATGCTTTATGAATAAATACTGTAAACCGTGTATTTACCAATGAAGTGGGGTCGGTAACGGTGGTGTTCCGTTGACTTAAATGAACAGTAATTATAAAGACAGAACAATGACATCTTCTCTATCAAGGGACACAGTTATTGGGTTTATTACCGAACCAACACCCATCAGACACAAAAGTGCCTAGCATTAAAGCATTTAAAACCATCCATCATAGTAGTTGGTCATTAGCTACAGCTTGTAATACCTTATAATTGCAGTCATAATCTGTTGTTAGACTGATTTAGCTGATATATTTGATATTTTATGTTTTTACTTTAAAACAAAAAATAGTACAAGAGATACAGTATACAATGATATAGCTTATTATATTACATATCTGGTTGTTGAAGTGCTTGGTATAAGAATGAAAGCAACATTAACAATATTGACTGCTTTCTCTGTAGCATTTTGATTACTAATAATAAAAATAAATTTTAAAAAATAGTATTTGTTTAAACAATATTAAACCACAAAAATAGGATTAATAATAAGAAAATTAAATAAAAATAAGAAAAAATAAGAATAAAAATAGAATTAAAAATAACAATAAGAATAACAACAATATCAGTAATAAGAATAATATACAATTATAAAAATAACAATAAGAAAAACACAAAATAATGACTACTTATAACATTTAAATTATTGTTATTACTATTATTATTATTATTATTTATTTATTTATTTATTTATTTATTTATTTATTTATTTTATTCAATATTAGGCTCTATAAAAAATAATTAGTTTATCACCCTATCTAGACTTGAAAAGTGATGAGGGAGGGAGGCTTTTTAATTTTTTTTAAATTTTGTTAAAGCCACATATCACTCTTGTGTTGTTTGCTGGTGCATTGATATTCAAAGTAAAACATGATTTAGATAATACAAATAATATACTAACTATTTACTAAAAATATTTTAAAAATAATATTTTCAAAAAAGAAATATTCCATATTAGTTGTTTTTTTTTTCTTGTTTTTTCAATTACATAGAAAGAAGGCATGTGTGCGAAGGTGATAGATAAAATATTTTTTTATTGGCCCTATATTTAATTATTATTATTTTTTTATGTTTAAAAGATCAAATGAAAACAACTTTTTCATCAATTTTGGCACAGATTTTAAATTTTTTTTAAAACAAAAATATGATCATTTTTCAGTGAAAAAAATAACACACAGTTTTCACAATGTTTCTATGATTTTACGAAAAAAAAAAAAATTCTTTTTTCCACCCGCCTTTGTATTCAAATTTTAACAATGTGACAGCAAACAAACAATTTTTTTTGATAGTCCTTATAATTATTTATCATCCTCCCTTCCTAACAGGCAGTTGTTATAATAATAATGAGTGACCATTTGTTCCCCTTTTATGATTTTTTTGTACTATTTATTAATTTCCCTGCTCCCATTGATTATTCCACGCCAAAACAAAAATTTAACTCACATTTTTAATGACGACATTTATAATTCATACAGATGTCATTATGCCCCCACAATTGTTTGTCCACATTCAAATTTATCAATAATGATCATTTCATTTCATTGGGTTTTTTTACATCGAAATGGTCAGTCATAGTTTTTACTGTGTAATTAATGAAAACAAGTACTTACTTACTTATAAAATTTGAATGTACAATCAATTAGAGCCATTTATAATTTTTGTATAAATAATTGCTGCGAAGCAGCCAATTCATATTCTTGACAGCAATTTGACCTCTGAAAGGTCATTGTTTGTCAAAAAACGAGTGCATAAGATGACTGAAAAGCGGAGTTTCCTTCTTTCGTTCTGCCGGGTAAAATCAATTACTTTAGGCGACGTTAGTAGAATAACCTACTCCTACCAACGTCTACATGTCACGCTAGCCTTATCCTACTCTAGGCCTTGACTAGCTAGGATGGTATAGGCCTAGCCTTGAAGGGACGAAGGTCCCAATGAAAAACAACGTCGCTCTTTGATAGCTAACATTGTCTATTTAACATCATCACAATAATTCATTATTAAACCTATAGTTGTTTTTTGAATTGTACTCCACAAATCTCAGCCGATACCTCGCACAACTGGCTAACGTCTCTATCTATTGTCGTGACGTCATGGCCCGCTGGCTCACACTTGTGATATGTCTCGCACTTGTGATCAAATAACACGCTGGCTCGCACTTTGGCAACACTCTTTGGCAGTCAATTCGCCCCTAGAAAACCCACCCTTGGAAACTTGCCCCATAAAAAATGTACACTTCCTAGACCATGCAGTCTTCAAAATAAAAATTGTAACCTTTGGTAATCAACTACATCTTCCACATACATAGAAATTTTTGAAACTTTATTAAAAAAAACCTAAACCATAATTCTAATTCAACACTATAGACACTTTTTGACAAAAATGAAAAATTACCACTTTGCTACCCAATGAGAAGTGTTTTAATATAGACAATGGGTCGTGTCTCATATTATTTGTTATAGTTTTATTATTCATTATTTTCACATTTATATGCAGTTGTACTTCGCAGCACTTCACTTGCAATTTGCAATTTGCAATTTCTAGTACAGGTTTTGTTATTTTGCTAACACTTAGTCGTGTATTCAAGTCTACTTCCTGGAAGTAACCACAAAAAGAAAAATAACCCATTTCTTAAAGCCTTAAGAATGGACAAGTTATGTTACCAAGGACAACAGAGCTTTTGGTGTGCAAATCAATGTAGTTCCATACATGCCAAGGCTCGCGCATTCGAGGTCTGTCTCGCGCTCTAACACTTAAGGACCAACATCTCGCACATAAATGTGATATTGCTTATAATAAAAAAAATATATATGTACAGTATAACTTGTAGCTCTCTCTTGCTAAATATTCATCATCTACTGTACTTAATATTGGTTTTGTTATCAAACATTCAAAAACAAATAAATGGTGCTGCACTACACAAGGGTTGGCTTTATATTTTAAGTATCACTCCTCTCATCCAATCAAATGGAGCTGCCTACAATATCGTGGGCCAGGCAGGTTGTACCTGTTACAGTTTTCTGGCAGAGTAAATCATGTCAGATACAAGTTTCTCAGAGAATCTTACAATCAACTTGGCAACAACAAACGAACAAGCACATTTGATTGATCTACGTTCAGAAATGTTTAAAACGGCCAAATTAACAACATGGATCTTCAACAAAGAGCACGGCTCAACCAAAAATGTTTAGAGAGAATTTTTTTTTTCTGATGTCTCTTTCATTATCATATAATTTTACATTTTTTTTAATGATATCTCATGTATTCTTCAGTTGATAAATTCTGATAACTGTCGGTAAAAATTTATATTCTCTTAGTATTTATTCAATCAGATCAGATCAAACTAGCAACATCAACAGGCTCATATTAGTGGGATTGATAGGTTCAACTGTGGACGGCAGAAAAATGCGGATTCCTAACAGATTTTCCTCTAGGGGAGGAGATTTTAGAACAAAGGTCTCATGCCTGCAAATTAGTCAAACTTGGCATTTAGTTCATAGAAGCTTTCTAAATACAAGATATAAGATATTCATTATATGAACTTACCAAAATTTGCTTTACATTAACATGATAAATGACATGAATGGTTACGAAACATACATCTCCTCCTAAAAAAAGTTTGCTAGTGTTAGATCGCCCTCCCCAATGATTTTCGCTATCTTTGCAGTAATGTTAAAATAATAATTTAAGACATTGTTATTGAATGAAGATAAACAACATAATAATAATAATAATAATAATAATAATAATAATAATAATAATAATAAAAAATAATAATAATAAGCAATTAGTAGAGCTCCGCATAGTACACTATAGAAAAATTATTGTACGACGGTTAGATTCAATGCTTGAAAAAATTTCCTGAGGGCCTGCAAGGCCCAAAGGAAATTTTTGAATGCATTAAATCTAACCTAAGTACTATATAATAATTTTCCATTTAGTGTACGATGCATGCTCTACTAATTGCTTTATAAGTCAATCGCCGTCTTTTAATTTTAGTTTTTTATTACAAACTGTTGTAGCAGTCATCGGTTGCTATAGTGATATGATCAGTATACGTGTGCGTATTTAAATTTAGCTGTGCGTATGCTGATTTTTGCTCCTGCAGTACGCGTTTAATTAATTACACATCAGCAGTACAGCAGTACGGATACGATGAATAACTATTGTGTTAGAAAGAACTTGTTTGTAATGCTATTTTGATAAACTTTCGTCAAAGAAATAAACATTTCAGCATTCGAGAGAGAATACAGTCACTGACGTTCTTTTTTTTGTCGGTGCATGCAGACAGGTAAAATCGTGCGATGATTTCATAACTAGGGTAAGCTACAGCCTAGTAGTAGTAGGAGTAGTAGGAGCCCGGGCGGCCTCCTGCTGCCTGGCCGTAGGCCTACATCTAAATTTGTTCCTTGAGTCTATAAAATAGGTCTAGAATATTCTTATTAAACGTTCAGTTTGTTGTGTTTATGAGGGTCCGTTGATTCAATGAATTCCTTAATTGTTCATACTTAATATTGAATTTGAAGTAACTTTCTTCTGGTTCTAATTGAGCTCTTATTTAACGAAAGTAATTTTCAATTACAAATTAATATTTATCGGGGTGCGCGATGTATTCGTGGTGACCTAAAAAAAATCAAGCCAAACGTCCACTAATAGAAAAATTGACGATTGACTTATAATAATTATTATTATTATTATTATTATTTTCATTATTATTATTATTATAGGCATACACAAAGATTATTATTTTAATAAATGACATGTTTTATTTAATGCATTACAACAATAATGTTTATAGTAATTTAATATATTATTAAATAAAAGAAATGAAGCATTTTAAATTGCTTTTTGCATATGATTGTCATGTATTTACAAAGATAACTAATTTGAATTCTTTATTCTATAATTAAATTATAATAATAGTTATAAATAATAATGATATGAAAATAAAAACACAATAACTAGCACATTCATTTTCTTACTGCTAACTTTATTGTAAAAAAGCACAACATTCACTAATTGATCATAACCTGAAATGCTACATTGCAAGAAGAGCAGTAAAAGCAGCTACAAAACTATCTCAGAAAGCAACTTAGCAACATAGCAGCTAACAAGCATAAAAAATCCAAAATGCTACATAGCAAAAAAAGCAGAAAAGCAGCTATAGACTGTATCCAACAAGGGTGGCGGATGAAATAGCAACAAAACAGCCACACACTTGTACTTACCGACTTTCTAAAGCCTTCGATCATATCGACCATACTGTTGCTGTAAATAATCTGTTATCCTTAGGAACTAGGCCTGAAATCATACCTTGGATAATTTATTTTCTATCATCTAGAAGACAGAGGGTACGTTATCATTCAAAGTTGTCTGATTGGCAAACTGTTCATTCAATGTGGTGTGCCACAAGGCACCAAATTAGGCCCTATTATTTTTCTTACTACCATTAACAGTGCATGTAATAATATTAATGGTTTGAATTATCGTATTTTAGATGTTCTCTTTTCTCGACCGATTTTATTATCATTTTTTTATATAGCTTTTTATATTTTAATTATACTGTATTAGACTTTGTACTGGAATTTTGTTTTAATTGTACTTTTGATGCTTCCTTCTGTTTCTTCTTGATTGTGTACCTTAACTGTAAATTTGTACTCCAATTCAGCCCTTTGGGCTGCTATTGTACTTATAATGGTTTTGAATAAAGAATTGAATCTATTGAATCCATATCAATCACAAACTGAACAACTTTGCCATACAGCAAAAACAGCAGAAATAGCAGCTCATAACACTTAAACCATAAAACAAAACCTTGGAACTAGCAGCATAGCAGACTAACAGCATTAAAAAAACACAATAAATGCTACATAGCAAAATAAGCAGATAGAGCATCTATAGTGCAGTTTCAAAAAAAGGACAAAAAATATAGCAACATAGCAGGCAACAAGCAATAAAAAACATAACTGAAATGAAACATAGCGGGAAAAAAAAGGAAAAAAGAGGAAAAGCAGCTATAATCCTGACGCAACAGGGAGATTTAAAAAAGCAACATAGGAGACAACAAACAGGAAAGTCCAAAGTGAAATGCTACATAGCAAAAAACAGAAGCAGAAAAAGCAGCTATAACATTGATACAAATAGGAGATAAGCAGTAAAAATCGAACATGAATGATTCGTAGCAGAAAAGGCAGCAAAAGGATCTATAACACTAAATTCAAATAGGGAGATTTTAAAATGCAGCATAGCAGACAACTAGCAGTAAAAAGCAAACTCAAAGCTTCAGAGCGGAAAAAGCAGCAAAAAAAAAACAAAAAAAAACAAAACAGCTAAACAGCTATAGCACTGTGTCCAGCAAGGGTGGTCAATTAAATAGCACAATAGCAAAACAAGCAGAAATAGCAGGTATAGCACTGTCTGCCAACGGAGTGTCAATGAGATAGCAGAAAACAGCCTTAAGTACTCTATAGCTAAAATACTTAAAACATGATATTGAAAATAGCTTAAAAAGCTTTTTAAAGTTGGTTTTTTAACAAAATAGCAAAAAACTCCTATTTTTTATCACTGTTAATAGCAGTGCAAAACCTCAAAAGGACCAATCCCGCATTTTCCTGGAGCCATCAGACAGAGAACAGCTTTTAAATAATATCATACTGCTCTTTGTTATTTGCTGTGCAATAAAAACTAGTGCTGTTCAATTACGTGTGCGCATAATGAGTGTGAAAATGAACTGCTTTAATCGGATTTGAATTCCCAACTAAGCTTCAATGTCCCAGTCGGCTATAGCCAGCAGAAGGTTCAACATAAAAGTGAAAGTATACTTGGGAATTCAATAGAGACGTACATTTTTATCAACAGCATGTAGTGACAGTGAATTTGAGTGTAAAAATCTAGAATGCATCCAAGAGATCTACAAATGCGATGGACAGTATAAAACTCAGGATATCCAGTACTTTTATGACTACTGTAATTTATTTGTGACAGTACACAAGCTTTCGTGCACACAGTGCGCTTCTTCAGGTGATTCATTGCAATAATTTGAGCACTGTGCAAGAAATGTTTTATTTTTTTTGTATATAATAGTCTGTATGTAGGTCTATATATACATACATATTTAATAATTTAACAAGAGCGACCGCTCACCTGTCTGCGTGTTCCTCCACGTATATATGTAAATAGTATATACATATATGCATGTATTCATCTATCAATCAAAATATCAATTTTGATCAAACCATAGCTTTTCGACTGTGGCAGTGCCGGTAGAGAACTGCAATTTTTTGACACTGCGGCAATGTCGATTATAAAACAGCAACTTTTTTCGCACTGCGGCAATGCCGATAGAAAACAGCAGCTTTTCCGCACTCTGGCAATGCCAGTAGAAAATAGCAGCCTTTTCGTACTACGGCAGTGCCGATAGAAAGTAGCAGCTTTTTTTTTCACACTGCGGCAGTGCCAAATTGGCCGATAGCCACTGCCTTAACCATCACCACCACTACTATTGGCATTACCATCACTTTCATATTACCACTATTGTAATCATTATTACCATTATTATCATCGTCGACAGTTGTCGTTGCAATTATTATCATTTGTTTCTTCATTTAGATACTTTCGACGCAGACAAATTTAAGTGCGATAGTGAAACTTTTATTCCGTTGTCATTCCGATGTGATTTTATTCGTAATTGTCAGAATGGAGCAGACGAAATTGGTTGCTGTGAGTACAAGTTAGAGTAGTCTCAGAAACTAATTAAAATATTTTTCAATAATGAAGAATTCTAAAAGTTGTTTACCTTATTAGTATATTTGTGTAAGCTGGTCATTGATACTTTTAAAGTTTATAGAAACTGCACCAATGAAGAATTCCGATGTGGAAATGGACAGTGTATCAACCAAAACATGCGATGTGACTTCTTTGAGCAATGCGCCGATGGCACTGATGAAAAACAATGTAGTAAGAATATTAAATAATTTTACACAGTTTGTACTCTTAAAATAATTATTCATATCGCATAGCTTTCTTGTTTATAAGTGAGTTTATAAATACAGTAATGGTAATGGCAATATACTTATAAAGCAAAATCGTCTGTATGCACTAAGAAACCACAACTCTAGTGCACAAAAAAGATGGATACTAGTAATTAAAAAAAACAACCAACAAACCCCACCAGAACAAAAAAAAAATAAATAAAATAAAAGCAATCAAGTTCTGAATTAAAATTTTAAAAAAATTGATGCGAGACTTGAAGACAGTTGAGGATAATAATACTTAAGCTTTGTTTAAAACACTGAAAACTTGGCTCAACTAACAGTTGTTATTCTGCAAGGCCGTGTATACAACAATTTAACCAGAAAAAAAAAAGTTTAAACAATTGTTTAAACACACAAATATCTAAACTAGACTTAAATCTTAAAATAACTTAATTACACTAAACAAACTCGAACAAAACAAAAATACTGTAGTTTATATAAGAAACTACCATAAAGGTGTTAACAGTTATGTGTTATTACAATGTCGCAATTATGTACTTTTTAAATAAGGACAATTTCTTAACATTTTTAACATCATTGCTAATTGATGATGGAGAGTCGTAGCAGAACGTAGTGAAATTAGATTGGAGATGTGGTGGGGCAGGTGGGATGTATACAAATAACAAGATCTTGAAGTTAATTCACAGATGAATGAGCAACCAATGGAGATGATGTAGAATTGGGGATATGCTCACGCTTAGGAGTGAGACCAGGAGTAATTTCCTCAGCAGCTTCCAGGACAAGCCATAAAAAAACACCATTGCAATAATCCAATCGAAATGTAATTAAAGCATGGACAAGTTCATTTATAAACACACAAACTAATAGCGAAAAAAGGATCGCCACTTACTGGATTGTAAAAAAAACATGAAACATTACAGACGGGTTATGAGATAAACAGATAATCAAAAATCATTGCACTTACTTTGAGAATACAAGTACGAAAAACTATTCAATATAACAAGGTAATAAGTATGTTGAAATAAAAAATTTTAAAATCATTCAGAAATGTAACCGGAGGCCCCTTAAAAACAGCTAATGAATTACTAAGAATATCCACTTTATGACAAGCATTAACAAAATCATTATATAATGAAGGTATACGATTAACAAAACTATTTTTTTGCAAATATTAACTTTGGAAAAGGAAACATGGAAAACACTAATAAGTCTAAAGAAAGAAATTAAATTACTGTTGAAAGAATTATACATTTAAAAAGAAATATTAAGTCAAGGTATTTTCTGCTGCCAAAGGGATTGGATTTCAGATTAATATTAAGACAATTAAATTGGTCAATAGGTTCAGGACTGATGTAGCGCAAAAATTTAGAATGAATTCTGTTGACTCGTTGGCTTTGGGAGATGGAAATAGAATGAAATATAATGAAAACATTCGAACATCGGGCAAGCATTCAAAATAAAGTGTGTTTAGTAGAAATTCAAAATGAAAATTTAAAACAAAGTAAAGCACCGTTAATTTTTAAAACAAAGTAACGCTAGGTTAGTCTCACATGACCTACCGGGCACGAAGTCATGCTGGCATTCAGAAATAAATAGGAGCGAGATGAGAATAAACATTATTAAACACAATTCTTTCAAAAATGTTAGATATGGAGGACAACAGAGAAAATTGTCTGTAATTAGCAACCTCGTTTGTGGAACCTTTCTTATGGATCGGCACGATATTCGAGTGTTTACAAAATTAGGGGAAATGATTGAGTAAAAATGTTGTGAATTGGGAATGAAAGTGATTCAGAGCATTCTTTAAGAAACTGGTTGCATATGGGATCACATTCCGAGGCCTTATATTGATCAATTAAATTAAAATAAGTCAAATGTAACTACAATGAACGGTAATGGTATTGAGAATGCCGATCGGAACATCAGGAAGATCGTGATGACAAGCCAGTAATTCGGAGTCAGAGCTGAAACGAGAATGAAAATAATTGTTAAATAATGAAGCTTTTGTATCAGCATTGTGTGCAGTTTGTCCACGGAAGTAGCACCTTCATTTTAGTAAATGAACTGACATGGACTGAAAATAAGACACGAAACAAATATATACAAAATATACTGGTTTTTAATAAAATAAATTTTCACAAATCAAATGGTAAACTGTTGTGTTACTTGTCGAATTCGTTATCTCTGTAACAATGCAAATACAGTACAAATCTTTCGAACTGCTAGGGCATTTTTCCTCGGTCTACAGTATCACTTTAGTATATTTGGCAGTACTTAAGTCTGAGTATAGGCCATTAAGCTAGTTCCGCTATCACACTCATGTATGGTTACTTCAAGCTTTAACTTACAAGCCTTTTACTTTTATTTTAAAATGTGCCTTGACTGTGTTCTTTAACCGACACTAATCAGTCCACATCTTTCCTTTAAGATATTTCCTGTTCAACTCCAGGCTAGATACCTCTTTACTTACCCCTTTGATAACATATTTGCATACTTTTGCCTTAACGTCACTAATATTCATATAACTTATTACCATTCACAGACTGCTTACCGTGAGTCATACAACTTATGCATATTTATTTAAAGTTTACGATTTAGTTAACAGCACTGTAAAGTAGAATGAAATATAATATTGTGACACTTACCTTACTGATGTTGTGGAGGTGAAATTTAACAGCTTTGCAAGTATTAAATATGTGTTTCGCCATAGATTCTGATTGGTCAAGAATCACGCCAATATTTCGTACATGCCAGCTCTCATTTGTTGAAAAACAAATGTCTGAACGAGCAGGTGAAGTGTGCAAAACTTAGGTCTCAGTGGCATTGAAACATAACTTATTATGTGCCAGCCATGATTGACCTTATCAATACAGACTTCATTATGGTGGACTGCTTTACTAAAACACTTTGGGGAAAAATGTATATAATTTTAAGGCTATCATCTGCGTACATGTGGTAATGTAGGTCATACTTCTGAATGATCTTACTAAGTGGTTGTATGTATATAAAAAAAAGTATAGCTACCAAGGTAGAACCTTGTGGAACTCCCCACTTGACAGCCAGAGGTTCCAAAGGAACTGAATTCACTCGAACTCTTTGGTGCCTAGATGACAGGTTAACTGAGACTTGCACGATTTTTGTCCTCACCATGCCGCCCAATGCTTCGTGGCAAGACGTGCCATTTCGGTGGTACGCTGCAGAACGTGAACCTGTGTTTGCGGCCTGTTCGTGCACTGTACATGCATAAGTTACGCTATGGGCGCCAAAAATGTACCGTATTGACATGCAATGGCACTCTTGTTTACGCATAGGTTAAGTATTGTTCGCGCATTGCTCATGTCTACCGTACCGCATTGACCCGCAGTGTCATATACAACATGCATAATTCCCTCTGTCTTCCCGCATTCAAAAACTACAACTGTAGACGTATAAACTACAGCTCAAGCCCCACATGGCTTGCTTGAGTAAAGCTGCTTTCACATCAGATTCAAACCTAATTTCAGACTGCGTTTCTGAGTTGTCTGCATCCCATTATCATTCCCCGTGCAAGGTTGCCCAATTTGCCAGACAAGATATAAAATAGAATCTATAAACAAATAATAATAATAATAATAACTTCATTTAATAAAGCACAAAACAATATCCATTAAAAATGTTCATCGGCACTGTACAGAATTTAAAAATATTCATAGACCAACATACACTTTAAACATATAAGAAATATGCATTAAAAGCTAATAGAAATGTTTGAAACCAATAATCATCACAAAATTACAATACCATTTAACACATCAAAAATCTACATTGAAATAAAAGAAAACGCGACATGAAATAGAACGATAAAACACTGAAAATAAATATATTTATTTGAATGTCAGTCTTTTTTTATAGCCTATATCGTATTTTTACATTTACAATTAAGACGGTAATGTGCATTATACAACATTAGAAAAAACACATATATGATGAACTAGAGAAGGAATGGATGGAATGAGATGTTTTATTATTAAATCATTTACTACGGAATATTTTGTATTTTATTTTATGTGGACAAGGTTCCAAGATACTTAGAAATGTATACAGGCTTCACTATTTTTTTTTAAATTTTTTTTTTTTTCCCAAAAGATTTACACTAAACTTTTTAACAGGCATTTCTAGGTGATGAATTTTTTTTTTTGGTTCGTGTGCAAAAAAAAATCCTCATTTTTTTCGCCATCCCAAAGACATCACGGACCGCGATGAAAATTGAATTGTAATTAAAAATTACTTTGTAAAACAAGGTTAATTAGAACCCGAAGAAAGTTACATTAAATTCAATATTAAGTATGAACAATTAAGCAATTCTTTGAATCAATGAGCCTTAATAAATTAAACAAACTGAAGGTTTAATAGGAATATTCTAGACCTATTTTAAAGATGTAGGTTTAGATGTAGGCCTACGGCCAGGCAGGAGGCAGCCGAGACCTCCTCCTACTTCTAGCCTAGGCCGTAGTCTAGTGTAGTTATGAAATCATCCCACGGTTTTTACCTGTCTGCACCAACCAAAAAGTTAGTGACAGTGACTGTATTCTCTCTTGAATGCTTTAAAAAATGTTTATTTCTTTGACGAATGTGAAACATTACAAACAAGTTCCTTAACGGAAAGGTCAGTTAGTGACTATCCTTAATATGAAGACATATTATAGTGTAAAATGCTTAGCATACAACAAATTTGGAGAACTATCCATATCCAATTGCCAATACTCGATTTTGTAGAAATATTTTTGTTCTTATAAAAAAAATTTTTTTTTAGAGGTAGCTTTAATCTCTTTATTACTACTTGATGTTCTAAACCATGCACATATATTTACAATGTCATACCATACAGCCATTCATATTACTAATAAGCATACATCTTTTTTACACAAAGACTACTGGAGCGAAAACTCTTGCACATTGGATGAACTACGCTGCAAAAACGGAGAATGCGTTGACAAGGATCAAGTGTGTGTCTATAACAAGGACGTCAACCACTTATCTACGGGATGTAGAGATTCCACCCACTTGGAAAATTGCAGTAATTAATATTTCGACATTTTTTATATATAAAATAGTTTGTCAAGCCTCAGTATAATGTGTAGCGGATTATATTTCTACAAATGCTTGGTCAGCCTAATCCATACATAGATATCTAATCCATACGTAGATATACGTACCACCGTAATTCAATGATCCTTCAAAGTGACACAATTCAAATTTTTTTTTCTTTGACATTTTGATTACGTACATTGAACTCTATTTTTTCAGTTAATTTTTAAGAGTGAAACTATATTACGTAGATAAGTAGACTAAATAACCATAACGCATAAACCGAGGAAAATAGATCATTCAGTTAATTTTTAAGAGTGAAACTATAATATGTAGCTAAGTAGACTAAATAACCATAGCGCATAAACTGAGGAAAATGGATCGGAAGAACCGCACACGGTGTTGCAATCATGATTGTCTACATAAGGACTAGCTGGATTAGGGCTAGACGAAAAGACAGTGGCGTAACAGGGGGTTGTTACCAGGCTGACCGTGGAGGTATATAATACCTCCATGGGCTGACCAAGCCGTCCTACCGGGCTGGGTAAGAAGAGGAAAGAAAGAGGGGAGATGGAGAGAAAGAGAAAGATATCCTATGACCAGATATGACAACACCCCGCAACCCCTTCTCCACTTCAAATGTCCACAGAGTTAGAGCAAATAGTTGTGAGTGATACATGTCTGATGTAAATGAGATACACAGGCTGCGTGCAGATGGCATATTAGGCCTATAAAAGATAAGCCCTAAACCCAAAAATATATTAGCACTTCGCATGCATTTTTCAGGTTACAACTTGTGCTTGTCCTCCTTTCCCTTCTAAGTTAATTGAACACATAATAGTCCAAAGAGAAAGAAATGTGTATTGATGGTGAAAGAATATGTTTGTAATAGATAAAACCATAATGGGAATACTGTACTTATATTTTGTTTCGAACACACATGTTTGGCCTAATATTATATATAAGTCGTATTGTTTTCTATATTGGGGGTGGGTGAAGGTACCACACCGGTCATAAATTACAACCTGGAAAATTATTAGATTTGACACCCCTGGCCCAAGATCCTTGTTACGCGCCTGCGAAAATATTAGATTCCCTAGCTTACCTAGGAACAGCGGTACTGTTTAACTTGGTCTAGGCCTATATCATGCATTAAGTGTGGAATCACAGTGATTTAAGCAGGATAATGCTAATTTGTATGCCTATGATCACCCTTGATGGTTAAACAGGCTAAAATACAGTTTGTGTCTGACAATTGAAAGTATACAGCCAGTAAAATGAGATTTTCGTTTTCATGAAGACACAAACTTTCGTGTAAAAAACTATATGCTGTGTTTATTTGGTGTTTTCACAAAAAGACACAAACTGTTTTCGCTACTTATAAGAATAATTCAATAAAACAAGGAAAAATAAGTCGAACATTTGAATTGTTAAATGCTTTAACTTTAACCAATAAAAATTTTAAAATCGATATCTTGATTGTGAAATTTACGGTTTTGTGAAGTAGTCATTTGTTAATTGTTATTTGGTATTTATATAGCGCCTATTCATTTAAGTTACAAAGCGCTTAGTTTTTCCTGGTCATTAGGTCCATGTGCTTAAATGTTGCTGCCATATATTGGTGCAGTAGCAGGCAATCCCACGATATACCCACTTACATTCCTGGCTGGAGAGAAGCAATGCAGATTAAAGTGTTTTGCTCAAGGACACAAGCTGGAGATTGAAACCCCGACCTTGAGGTTCGGAAACCAAACCGTTCGCACTGCGCCAAACTGCTTCCAATATAGTTCACTTCAAAAGTGTTTTCCTCAAAAGGCTGATTTGGTTGCTGGAAATTGAAATTTGTGTTACTTCATGGTGTCAGTGATGGAGTGCATACAATCCGAAAATATTTTTTCTTAAAACAAAAGCAATATTATTGGTACTAAGTATTACTTCTATAATAATAGTTAGCATTTCTGTTTAGGTCATGAATAGAACAAAAATCTAAATTTAAAATTTTTCAAAAGTATCATGCCTGTTTCGATTTTAGATGATATGGAATGTCCTAGTGGAACCGTGAAGTGCCCTGGAACCTACTGTATAACAAAACATCTACAATGCAACACTATCTGGGACTGTCCAAACGGAGAGGATGAGATCGAATGTGGTACGAAGGAAACTACCAATAATATTTATATGTAATCTGGTGACTAAATTCAGTTAACCTATAACTGTAGCCTACTTTCGGAGCCTCATACAGAGACTTGGTTGTGGTTTTAAGAAATAGGTATCGTAGGCCTTAATTATTATTGCGCCTAAGAGTGTATGGAGCCCCACATAATCAGTCCAATTTATTTAATTTTGCTTGTAAATAACTTTCAAATTACAAAGAAATTGAGGTTAAATTAATTATTCGCACTGAGTGTCATTTTCTGCTTAAATTAGAATCGTATGAATGTCCCGGAATGTTTCGGTGTCACAAGTCTCAAGTGTGCGTTTCCCGTTCTCAGAGGTGTAATGGTATTATTGAATGTCCAGAAGCAGACGATGAAATGTATTGTAGTAAGTATAAAATAGTTTTCAACTGTACAATGAAATGTATTGTAGTAAGTATAAAATAGTTTTCAACTGACCAATGAAATGTATTGTAGTAAGTATAAAATAGTTTTCAACTGACTAATGAAATGTATTGTAGTAAGTATAAAATAGTTTTCAACTGACCAATGAAATGTATTGTAGCAAGTATAAAATAGTTTTCAACTGACCAATCAGAACAAGACCAGGAACAGCCCCATAGCCAATGTGGACTGGGGGTCATGCCCCTGTTGAATTTTTGGCGCCCCTGTTGAATTTTTGGCCCCCCTGTTGAATTCAAAGTTATATTTGATTTTCAAAACAGATAATTCTCTACTAAGTTATAATTGAGCATTGAAGAGCAACAAATTTATTTCTTTTAATTTATATAGGCCAAGTATGCCTAATACAACTTTGACTAGATACCTATTCACTTTTATGAGCGACCATTATTCTGGCCCCAAAATCTTGACTGGCAAACAACCGGAATGTTGTCCAAGGAGTTTTTTTACTTCTAAAAGTTATTGAGTATAAGCAACTGCTCTCTAGGTTATTCCTGGGATGTTTAAATCATGCATTATATATTCGATGAATATCTGCTGTATCTAAATAACCCGTATTCCAATCCTCAATATGTGGCCAGGATAATCTCGGAATTGTGCCAGTACATTACTATCCTCCTAGGGCCTAAGGGTCGCATACATTGATGTTCGCAAAAAAATTATAGATTATATTCATTAAAATTTTACCTATTATGTGCCACCAAACACTACAAGTAGGATGACTTTTCCACAGGTAATTTACGTATGCTTTGTACCCGGTACGATGCACTAAAATATTTTTCAAAGGCTATTTCTAAAGCATTTGAAAATTTGGCACGCACGTTTTTGTTCGATTGGCCTATTTTAAAGTTGGTTCAACTTTATTTTTTATATTTTTAATCACGTCAGGGCATCATCATACTTCTTGAATACGGTTTACTCCACTGAAATCATGTCATTGATTGTTTGTGAAGCTCTTAGAGGACTTGTAAAGGCATGAAGCGCTATATAAGAACAACATATTATTATTAAGCGCCTCGAGGTTGTGTCAACGTGAGGCGCTATATAAATCCAGAATTATTATTAGAATTATTATTATTTTATTGTTGTCAATATTACTGATTATATTGTTTGAAAATTTGCAGTTGGAAGTAATAATTTATTTAATGCTTGTGGTACACCATGTAGTAAGTTCTGAAAAGTTGTTTTCTTAAGAATATCTCAACATTTTGATTAAATTGCTTTAATCGTCATCCGGAGAATAATATCAAGTGAAACGTCGATTCTCAACAAAACAGCAGTTCTTTTCAGAACTATCTACGTAGTGTATCGCAAGCATTTAGTATGCCAATATATACTTTATCTGCCCTAAATGGTGAAATATATAATATATGACTTGACTCAATATCCGTATATTTAGATATATAGATATTTATGCTCTTTACAAATGCTGTATCCGTTTTAAACAATTTCAGAATGTAATGTATGCATTAACAGTTTCACCTAGGTAGGCCCACCAATACTCTATCTCTGGGACTGATCAGGTGCCTTTTAGGGCCCGCAATTATGTTGCACTGGAGTCTGTCACCAACTTGTTAAGCCGCTAAACCGTCGTGGGACTGGAGTGTGGCCCTTCTAGTACTCGGCCCCCTCTGAAAATTGTAATTCCCCCTGATCAATGATTGTAGCTACGGGGCTCTAGTGTTAGTGAAGCTAGTGCGATCAAAAAGATATAATAGAACGATGTTTAGAACAGTTTGAGGGAAGTTTGGTACATTTAAAGAGAAATCTACTGTAGGCCTATATTACAATTTGCAAGTTTTACTCTATGCCTGAGGTTTGGTCTTTGGCTGTCAGAGCGGCATCGAATGCAAAAGTTTCACACCCAATATGCGTTACACATGGTAGGTCTGTGTGTTGTGTAATGCTGTTGTATTTGATTTTGACATGTTTTCACAAAATACTAATTGACTTTGTCTACAGATCTCACCTGCCCAACAGGATGTATATGTGTTGGTCTGTCAGTCACCTGTCAATATGTACTGTGGGATTTTTCTATGGCAGTTATGGTACCTTCTTCAACTAAATATTTGTAAGTACACAATCCGTTGCTTTTTATCATGATCATGAGATCTCTTGCAATATTATTTTATATTACATTCTTTTAATGTTATATTTTTCGAAATGACATCTATTATATCTTTTGTTTTGTTTTCTGTGTTTTGAGTGCTGCCTTGGAGAGCCACATGATAGTGGCACTTTTGTGTACTTTTGGTTATCCTGGGTTGGCAGCACTCTTTGTTTTTGTTTCTGTTTTTATTGTCTTTTTTTATTGTAATTTTGATTGTAATTTTAACCTGAAATAAATTTGAATTTGAATTTGAATCATAGAATACAACTGGAAGCGTTATTTTGAGTAGAGTTGGGTTCTTCAAGTTCAACTCATACAAAGCCTGAACTTGAACATTAGTTTGTTTCATACAAACTTTTTTTTTCATTAGTTTAACTTAAGTAAAACTTGAAAAATACATTTAAAAAAAAGAGACCAACTTTATATTAATAAGTCTTTAGTACTACATTGTTAATTTATAGCACACTTTATTATTAAACCTAGGCCCTAATATATATGTTTCATATGTATTATTATTACCATTATATTTACCCTGAAGACACTTGCATTCCTGATGATTACATAATGTCGAATATTGAATCCCAACAAGATGGCGTTCATTTCAATTCTTGTAGTATGTATACTATCTTATGTGAGATTAATCAGTTGACCGTTTGGTTTCTGAAGACACTTAGATAGATATATAAATATGCAATATAACATTCATGTAAGCATATATCAAATGTGTATGTTAGCCTCACCTTTGAGTAACCAAATAGATAATACAGTTTCTCAAGATATTTATTTATTTATTACCATTTTTAGAGAATGTGACCTATCCAGTTCCTGCAGGAACTGATCATTAGGGCCCTCGATAAAACATATATACAGTAAAACATGTAAAATATTAAATATTCAAAAGAGAGATGAACGGGAGCACCTACAACATAAACAATACATTAAAACTTGTGAAAATCATTTGGTGCATAGCCACAGTTTTATTTTACACCCTTTGATTGAATATTGATTGATTGATTGATAACAATACAGGGATTTAATATACCGCCATTGATATGTAATAAAAGATTTAACACGAAATGGAGCCATTTCGACCCTAAGTATGGAGTACTTACAGCAGTGTAAAAACATATATCAGCATATAGGTATATATATATATATATATATATATATACATTCAACACTTACTGTATATGACGCAAATTTTCGGTCTGTCTGGACCCTCTTCAGGCGTAGTCCGATCGTCGTCTGAACCAATCAGTTCGTCTCCGTTTCCGCATAACATGTTACGTAACGCTAAATGAAGCAGGGACATACATAGGAGAAACATCTAGAAGCATAGGAGAAAGGGTAAATGAACACTATAATAAGTATGTAATCAAAGAGAAAACTTCGGTGTTTTATCAGCACATAAAAGAGGAGCACGGAGGAGAAATGAAGGAGTTAACGGTCAAAATCCTTAGTAAACATGCAGGAAACCCGATGATTCGACAAGTGACGGAGGCTGAGAGAATTAAAATACATAATCCTAGCCTCAATAAGAAAGAAGAGTGGGGAACGTGCATCTCCCCCATAGTAGGATACACTCCCAAGTTTAATTATATACCTTGTGGCTATGCATTATTATTGTGGGCGTTTTCTTTATATGTTGACGTTTTTTTGTCTATACATTTTATCGAATTCTATCATAGCCTATAATATAAAGGAACAGTGGTATGATGTCATGAGTTATTTACCATACTCATGAATAACCACTACTCTGTATAGCGTTACGTAACATGTTATGCGGAAACAGAGACAAACTGATTGGTTCAGACGACAATCGGACTACGTCTGAGGAGGGTCCAGACGGACCGAAAATTTGCGTCATAAACAGTAAGTGTTGAATGTATATATATATATATACCTATATGCTTATATATGTTTTTACACTGCTGTCAGTACTCCATACTTAGGGTCGAAATGGCTCCATTTCATGTTAAATCTTATATGTCAAATATTACCCTCCATAAATTAAATGGTTTCATTACTAATCTGATAGCATTACATGATATGAAATAAATTGGCTCAATATAGATCAGTATCAAGTGTAGAATCACCGCCTGTTCGTGTTCGAAAGTCGTCATTGTCAACAGTTGAAGATGTCTTGAAGGTGGATTTGACTCAATTTCAAATGCTTATATTAATGTAGGTATAACTTGTAAAATTATCCAAATTTATGAAATAGTTTCAGTATGCCATCCCTTAATTTGTACGGACTTTTTCAAAGAGTTTTGAGTAAATATATGTATTTCTACCATATTTACTAGACCTTTTGAAATACATCCCGATTTCTTTTGTGGGAGGTACTTTGACACTGTTATTCATTTTAAATATTATTTAAATAAGTAAATATCATATGGGATACGCCCTCATTTAACAATTTTCAAACGTCGAAACAGGATTTTCCGAGACATACTGTACATTTATATAAACATACATTACATCATTTATATAGCGCTATTTCATAAAGATCAGAGCGGTTTTTGCTTTTAAAAACAAAAATTTTTAACTAACATACTGTGACGATGAAATACATCTAACAGAAGAAAACCGGAAAGTGATAAAAAAAATAAATAAATAAAAAATAAAACAATGCAGATGAAACCAAACACTACCGCACTATTCCCCAGCAATTTAAAATAAAACAAAGCAGATGAAACAAAACACTACCGCATCATTCCCCAGCAATTTAAAATAAAACAACGCAGATGAAACCAAACACTACCGCATCATTCCCCATCAATTTAAGGCAGCAAAGCCCGCCATCATAGTATTCACAGGTTCTCAAATGATGTTGGCATCTGGTCCTAGTCAATTCCTCCTAGTCAAATCAGAAGGATACAATAAAGTTTTCAACATTTTCTTAAATATTTTAACAGAGGCTGAAATACGAATGTTGTGTGTAATTTGTTCCAGTAATGTGGTAACACATAAGAAAATATCTGCCGATGTGAAGTTGTGAGTGAGTTGACTGGTGGGCTTAATATTTTGTAAAATATGGCTAAGCAATTTTGTGGTAATGCTGAACATTATATAACATTTTTTCATGTTATTTATATTATTTATTCTATTCATTCATTCATTTATTTGTTGATTTTTTTTCCCAAGGAACATTTCGTCAAATGGGATTGAGACAATTGCTGAATCTACCTTTGTAAACCAAGTGAATTTAGATACTCTGTAAGTAGAATGACTGTACTTATATATTCAACTTGCTCCAAATGTCTTATTACATTGTAGAGTACCACCAGCAAGCAGGGAGCTTGTACCGAAAAAGCAAATTGTATTAAAGTTAAATCAGTTTGCAGGTCGACTGACTGTGACGTGATTGTAATATTTTTTTTAATATAAGGGAGGTGCGATATGCAGGTCTGCAGGTAATAGTACATACTATTAGTAGGCCTAATAGTACAGTATAGGCTAGGCCTTTTGCCCAGTCACTATTATGACTAGGGACACAACGAAAAGTCGATGCCAAATAAAAATCTCGTTCTAGGACTCTTATTATTGTAAATTTATTATCATTATTACTATTATTATTATCATTATTGTTATTATTTTCATTTTCTTGTCTTTAAAGTGTGCTGTCTGGCAATCAAATCACGAGCCTTGAAGCAGGATGTTTTGACGGTCTCAAGAGACTCACAAACTTGTAAGTTGGCGGCTTGATAGTCATAAGTCCACATGAATTTCTTAAGTAGAAATACTGTTCCAGTAGTGAACATAATGATATTTCAATTGATACATTTGTATATTCTTGTAAGCTATGAATATCCTATTGACAACTATAAAAAAAAGATAACTATCTTGTCAACAAATACATTAGCAGGCCTAAAATAAGCGTACTGTTCCTTTATGATATCGGTGAGCCCATTGTATTTTGGGAAAAAAATCATAATTAAAAAATTTATCATTTATTTCGTGCCGGGCTTTGCATCAGAGAAAGTCTTTATATGTGTGTATATTGTATATACTTTCTAGGTTTATAGATAATAATGGATTGGTGAAGATTGGACCAGGAGTTTTCATCTACACACCTATTTTGAGTACTTTGTAAGTATTCCTAAACAATTATTGTTTTAAAAATGGCAGCACCTCTTTGCTTCGTCAACATTGAAATACATTAATTTGATATATTTATATTTAAGAACTAATTTTTTTTATGTACCGCTTAAAATTCACGTTTCCACATCAATTGTATTATAGGCATGTTGAAAACAATCGTTTGGAAGAATTTCAATCCGATATGTTTGATGATCTCAATTTCTTGAATAATCTGTAAGTATATTGTAAATATTCTAGTTTTTTATGTAGCATGAATTTTACATATATGTAAATAATGTAATGAATAATGCGTTTTTTGTCTATAAATATATAATAATAATACTATTAATATAAGGTAATAACAAATAAAATAACACTAATGATAATAATGTAAAAGTAATATTGTTTAAAAAATCTTGAGACAAGCTAAAATTGTTCTACAGTTAATGTTTCATTTGCTACTTTTTAAGTCCTTTCTGTTTTGATAGTCTTAAAAATCAACATGTATTTAAAGTATCAATATAAAATAAATGGAAATTAATAATATATTCTATTGTTTTAGATATACTGATGACTACCAATTCTGCTGCATGATCCCAAAGGTAACAAATTGCGAACCACCTCCTGACATATTTTCATCTTGTGAAGACTTGATGCGAATATCATTCCTTCGTGTGATGATGTGGATTTTAGGCTTAAGTGCCCTTGTGGGGAATGCTTTCGTAATTTTCTGGCGGGTGCGAGACAAGTGTACACGCAATGTCCAGTCCTTTTTAATAACAAACCTTGCAATATCTGACTTCTTAATGGGTGTGTACATGATTATAATTGCTGGTGCAGACGTCCATTATCGAGGACAGTATGCTGTGTTTGCAACCGCCTGGAGATCAAGTTTCTTGTGTAGTTTTGCTGGAGCACTGTCTATGATTTCAAGTGAGTTTTCGGTGTTTACATTGGTGATTATCAGTCTTGACAGAGCTATTTCAGTAGGATTTCCCTTCAGTAGTTTGAAAATCACCCGCAAACGATCCTACGTTTTAATTTGTGTTGGCTGGTTTGTTGCAATTACATTAGGATTATTGCCAAACTTTAGGATTTCTTACTTCGGTGACGACTTCTACGGGCGTCCTAGTGTTTGCTTGGCGTTACCGCTAACAAAGGTGCGTTTATCTGGATGGGAATATTCAGTGGCAATCGTATTGATTTTAAATTTATTTAGTTTTCTCATCATAGCCGTCAGTTACGTTTTCATGTACATTGTCGTAAAAAAGACAGCTGCCTCAGCCAAAAGAAATGTCGCCAATCGCACTGACGTCAAAATGGCAACCAAGATGGCGATGATCATATTCACCGATTTTTGCTGCTGGTTGCCGATAATCATGATGGGGATTGTTGCTCAGATAGGCTCTTGGGAAATTCCTGTGGACGTTTACGTTTGGAGTGCTACTCTGATACTACCGATTAATGCGTCACTCAATCCATATCTGTACACCATATTTTGGATAAACGATGCAAAAAAACGTAGGCAGAAGTTGAGCTCAATACAACTAACTGAACACTCACTCAGTCGATCAACAGGTTGGTAAACTTATGTTACTTAAATTTTGAACTTAACTCTATAATATTTGGTAGGAAAGTTTGTAAATACAGTGCTGCAATTCAGCTTAGGCTGCCACTGATTGTAAAGAATGAATAAAGGAATTGAATTGAAAAAAAAAGAATTGACTTGAATTGAAATGAATATACTCAGTATGATTTTTTTCGTAATTGTAGGTCTAGTACAGTATTGTTTTTTTTCTGTACAAATATTTTAATTGAGTTAAAATATTAATAAATTAGAATTGTTTATTTTATAAACATGTTCAATATTAACACAATAATAAAATAAATAAAAATGTAAGTGTATTAATTTGTAATTAAAAGTAGGCCTATCTTTGTAAAAATACAATATTTAGGGAAAAACATTCTTAACTTACAAGATGTTTTTTCTTTCAGCGAAAAATGACACACATTCGTTTGCAGTTATATTTGACAGCAATATTTCCAGGGACTCAATGTTGACAAAAAATCGCATATTTTCAAAACAACAAATAGTCGAAGTAGAGCGTGAGCTAAAAAGAAGCCTTCAGTTTATGCACGATAGAAATATCTATCATGGTCATGTGACACATGAAAACATCATTATCTACGAGGAACAGGTAAATTATGCACTAATGCTAATGCTGCCACCTCCACTACTGCAACTCTACTACCACTAATACTACTACTACCACCACCACCACTATAACTACCACTACTACTACTCTACTGCAACTACTACTACTACTACTACTAGTAGTAGTAGTAGTAGTAGTAGTAGTAGTGGTAGTAGTACAACCACTACTACTACTACTAAAACTACTGCTAAAACTACCACTACTACTACTACTACTACTACTACTAAATATAATGGTAATAATAATATTTAAATTAACTGTAGTTGTAGTAATAGCTGGTACTCATATTCAGTAAATAATCAATGAAGTTATTGGTTATTCATGTCACTACAGGGCAAGATTCGTTCAATTCTTCTAACAAAGAATGCAGAGTACAATTCAAATGATAAACAAGATTTAGGTTCAGAAGACTTGCAGCAACTTTCCACATTCTTAAAGGATTTGCAAGATGGAAAGTACAACAACAGTGATAAAGAGCAAAACAACACCAATCTATGATTTGCATAGGCAAGTGTTCTGTCCTTATCTTGAGCATGTATTGGCACGTAATGATAACATAACTCATCCTGTATTGCGGCAGATACAGTAAATACATGGTCGGTCAGGTATGTAGTGTATGTAGGACGTAATCCAGTACAATACTTAATTTTATCTTTCAAAATTTAAATTATCACAAAACAATTTTAATATTTTATCGTTTTATAAGCTGAAATCAACTAAATATTGAATTTCAAATCAAGACTGATTTTATGATAGTAAAATTATTATGTAGGCCTATCTCGTATTAATGTGAAAATATTTGTATGTTGGTATTAAAATGTTGTTGAACTATTTTAGGGTCATTATCGATACTGTAGATTTACAGTTTCTGCTATTATTTCTTTTCTAATAAGTATTATTAGGTCGTACACAATGTTGGGGATATATTATTCATTATAATATTATAATCTATCACTGATCTCGCCACTTTCATTAATCCAAACATATCAGCCAAATCAATGTTTAGTAACTAGGCCAAAATAGTGAAATTAAAAAGTAAACAACGAAGGCTTAGGAATAAAGACTCTTATAGATAATTTTTTAGCATATGTAATTGTAAATCTTATCATGGAGGTATTATTGAGAAGATCACTCAGCAACAGATCCTTTGTCGCGACAAACCAATGTGTTCCCCACGCTTTTAGATCGCCCGCGGGCGTATTACCCTATAGTTCACATTTTTTCGTTAGCAACAACTTGGCAACGTCATGCGTTATATGCTTCAGCACAGCAGTTGTGCGATAAAGCCTTTGATTTTAACCCATTAAATATCTTTATAATAAACAATGTTCCCCTGATTGGATTTTTTCTGACTTTTAGTATGTTGTTATGTGTGTATTTCAGGAACAGATTTCGCAAAATATTTCTGTTAAAATTACTTCTGTATGCATCATAATTTTGTCTAAAGATTGATTGATTGGTTTGACTATAAAGCTAAGGCAGCGTAAATCTGAAAATTACTCTGATTTTGGATTGAATTTTCAAATAGTTAACCCTCGTTAACTCTAAAATGACTTAGTTTATTATAATCTCCATCATTCCTTAATTAATATTTGTTAAAATTAGAATTATCAAGTTTTATCCAATTTATGGAAATTCAAGTTGAAATATACCATACCTTTAAAGCTGATGTAAATGTTTCATTAAATTCAAAACTCTTTGTTTTAGAAAATATTATTATGTTTGGTATTTATTGAAAGATCAATGTATTAGCTTCATTGTTGAAACAACTGCGCAGCCATAGTGATTGACTGTAAGTAGTGCGCAATGAGAAAAGAATGTGCTCTCTAATTTGCCTGTGTTCTCCCGAAGCCATCTTAGCTGTCAATTTTACCGGTAAAGATAACTGGCCAACCAGTAAAAATTTTGAGTTTGTAAAAAAAAACAAACTACTGATTAGGCCTAGGTAGTCTAGGCTGGCCCTCTTTCAGTAAAGTCTTTCCAGTCTATGGCTATGAATGTGTGTTCTTGTTTCTTCATTTCATTAAACCCCACTCAAATGGGGTAACACCATACACTGCATGCATTGCTGAATTTTTATGGACAAATTTACCAGTAAAAATTTTTCAATTGGGAGAACACTGAATCGCCATGCTCAATTTTTTGGTAATCTAAGCCTGCTGAGCATTTGGTGGCGGGGAACACATTAGACTTCAAAGGCATCGCGCAAACGTTCTTCACGCACTGCATGCGGCAGCTTTGTTTTTAATTGGTTCATTTGCATAGTGCTGCATGCGCTTTTTCGAGTGATCTCCTTCTCAATAATACCTCCATGGTATTATGTATAAATGTTTTACAGTATTTCTGAGGTTCTCATAAGTTCTCAGATATAACAGCAAGTAGGCATATAGGTGTGATATTGGTTGGTGCAATGTTGACATGTGAAGGATTGTGACAGTTTATCAGTGGCAGATCCAGGAATTTGAAAGATCCAGGAATTTGAAATAGAGGGGGGGGGGGGTGTCATGGAAGGACGTTTACATATGAAGGGTCTAAACCACCTCAGACCCACTATGGTTGGGGCTGAGGTAAGAAAATGTAGGCCTATGATTGTGCCAATTCTAGATGGCGGAATTGGCACTCTCAAACTTAATATAATTTTCTTTTTCTCCATTTAAAAAAAATAATTTGTGGGGATTGTAGGGGTCCCCCTTGAATTCGCCACTGGTTATTGCTCCTTTTTCCAGACGTAATATACCAGGGAGTTATTATTTAGACAACTCCCTGGATATACCAACGGAACATGACCTAAGGATTTAGATTTTTTATACAGTAGTATAGTTTGTAGATTTTAAATAATAAAAAATAAGAGGTGATGTGTTTCTGACAAATAGGCAATTCCAAGATGCATAATTCTTTCAGACATAGGGGTATTATTGTCTTTAATTTTTTTTTTTTTGACCTACATATATCATTTTAGTGGGTCATGCTATTAACCTGCTCGTTATTGACCCTGCTGCAACTGTTCCAGTCAACTGATAACAGCAACTAGAATTCATTATACCTGATTATTTGCTAAACGAAGCTGCATTAAGCCACCTGTGTAGCTCCTGTTATAATGGATTCACACGAACGAACGAACGACTAGTGGATTACAGTAGTAATTTCACTGTTCACTGGTATAACCCTGTTTGCAGCGATAAGAAATTGAATTAGAATTGTACATTTTAACGTGGGTTAACTTATTTAAAATTGTTTTAAATGTTACTAAATTATGTATTCAAAGAGTAATAAATTTCGAGACATTCTAGGCATAAAATGTAACATGTTCTCTGCTGATCAGTGCAAACACACTGACACAGCTTTAGACCTAGTCATTTGAGTCTACAGCTAGGAACAGTGACGATAAAATCACTCAGCACATTAAAGTGCTAATCCTAGTTCAGACCTCCATAGCGGCGTCGTACACTGATCATTACCGACGTGTCTACAGGCCAGCCTTTCAAAACCTTTTAAATTTATAAAAAGTGCACTAAAAATATATATTCTCTCATCAATTATGGAAAATCGAAAAATCCTTTAATGATTCTATGATTTAAACAATATGTTTAATCAGCGAAATATATTTTAATGTTTCCAAAGCCACGTGTATGAATATTAATTAATATCGTTATATATGTTATAATTATGTAAATATAATATTACGTATATTTCGTTTGCTTATAATTTTAACCAAATTACTATATTAATTGTGTTGTGTACAGGAGACTGTTGAGACAAGCATTTGCTTCTAAGCTACTCCCTAAGATTTGTACTTTACATTGAATAAAAGTATTTGATTTAAATTGAATTGAATATATAATAGGCCTATGTAGCCTACATAAATAATCAAAAATTGGTATAAGCAGTGCTCAAATAAAGGAACAAGATATAAAATGTAAATGATTATTGAATAAATTTATTGGATTCAAATAAATATTAGTGGTTCTTTTTGAATGATCCAAAGTCAAGTGTAAAATTGAGATGGGCCTGTTTACACTTCAACGATAATGATAAAAATGCTAAAAAGCGATTGTTCATATAGAAAACAAAAGAAATAAGAGAAGTTTTTACACTAGGACGATTCTATAACGATTTATCGTGTACCGTACTCGCGCGAATAAGCGCCCGGGAGCTTAAAATATTTTTCGCACTTTCTGAGGGGCGTTTATTCAAACGGGCCGCTTATTTGAACGGGACGCTTATGAAAACAGAGTGGAGTGGAGTGGGGCGCTTATGGAAATAGATCAAAATCGAGTTCTTATGGGAAATTATTAAATTTAAGAGGCACTTTCAATGAAAAAAGATTAATAAGAACATTAAGAATGGTGGTTAGAAAAGACAATCGTCCGGAGAAAATAGCTCATGACAAGAATGCATGAATATTTATTACATAACAGCAAAATAGCAGATGCAATTAGTGGTGGTGGGCCGATTGAGATTAGCAGGATGGCAATTGTATTTTTTTTTAAACCTCAGATAAGGATGTGCTAAAGGTCGGAAAAAAGATTTAAAAAAGGAGTAGGACTAGGCATAGACAAATATGTAAAAAGAGTAAAGTTTGAAATATACTGTCTGTCCAGGGATCTGTCCAAGAGAAATATCCTCATTTTGATATTGACCGAAGAAGAATGTGTTTCTACTCTACAGCTCAAATCATGCCAACAACCACAGTCCCAGGATTGATTGAATTATTGATTTGCTAAAAAGAAAATCTTATGAGGGGGCGCTTAAGGAAATTTTCACGTTAGGAGGGGCGGTTATTCGAAAGGAGCGCTTATTCGCGCGAATACGGTATGCAATAACAAATTATTTTAACAAATCAAATCAGATGATGTCATAATCATGGACAAAGTATTAAATCGATGCTACTACGACGATTTTATTTTAGTGTTTTTCCATTATTATGACGTCATCTGATTTGATTTGTCATAATATGTTGTTATCGCATAACTGATAAATTGTTATCGAATCGTTCTAGTGTAAAAACTAATCTTATTTCTTTTATTTTCTATATGAACTATTGATTTTTAACTTTTTTTTTTTATCGTTATCGTTATCGTTGAAGTATAAACAGGCATTTACTCACTATTTATTGACGTTTCGCCTGCTATCAGCAAGGCTTAGTCATAAGCGCCTATATTACAGAACATCTCAATACTTGACTTTGGATCATAAAAAAAAACCACTAATACTAAAAATGTGAATGTATAAACATTTATTTCTTTTAAATCAAATCAAACAATAAATAAAGCCCAAAAAGGGGCAAGAAACGTTGAATTAAACAAATTTGATTTGTAAGTAATATGAAGTACGGTAATTAGTAAAGCTCCGCATAGTACACTATAGGAAAATTATTATACGAAGGTTAGATTTAATGCTTGAAAAAAAATCCTGAGGGCCTGCAATGCCCGAAGGAAATTTTGAATGCATTAAATCTAACCTGAGTATAATAATTTTCCGCTAGTGTACGATGCATGCTCTACTAATTGCTTAATAAGTCAATCGCCATCTTTTAATGTTAGTTTTTATAACCAACTGATGTGTTGTCATCGGTTGCTATAGTGATATGATCAGTATACTGCGTGCGTATTTA